TGGATAGTCCATATAAGTAATGGCACATCATAGAATAGTATGATACGCAGGTGCTTTGAGTTCCGTGCTCACTGTAAGGTTTAGCTGCGTCAGAAATGAAAGAGCAAAGTAGAAAATACTTAACTTCTAGAAAAGAATGTAGCAATTCAATTTGTTGTAATTAGTCTTGATTGAAATACTAAATTTATAATGAAGTATAAATTAAGTCACACAACACGCGGTGATAACCTTCTTCTACTGCTATGGTTCAGGACGTATCCCTCGAAGGAGAGAAAACGAAGTGGAATCTTTATCGGGAGTTGAAAAGGGTCAACATGTTAGTGTAACTGTATATAGAACTGAAAAGAATTAATTGAAAATTTGGTAGGTATGCCCTTTGTTTAGGGGGAAGCTTCTTTAGATTCTTCTACTTCTTCAACCTCAGCAACAACGTTAGCCTTATCAGAACCAATAGATCTAGCATCATCTCTGAAAGCATGTGTAGATGGGACGAATCCAGGAGATCTCCAAGCATGAGGAACAAGTTCATATAATTCATCTACTTGTTCTAAAGTTAAACCTTTAGTTTCGTAAATTAGTGCCCATGAAAATATGATACATAAAAAGTTGAAACTTCCCCAAACGAAAAATACCTTAACACCTAAATTACCATTACCTGGACCTGAATCAACCATGTAAGGAGTGGCATAGGCTAGAGCCCAATTCCATATCCAATTGGAAGCAGCTGAAAGAGCAACAGACTTAGCTCTGGTTCTTAATGGGAATATTTCGCCAGTGACAACCCAAGCAGCTGGACCCCAAGTTGCAGCAAAGAATGCAATAAAAATACACGAAAATGCGATTAAAACATTACCAGCAGCTTTAGAGTCTGTAGGTGTGGCAATGCCAACAATCGCAACAATATACTGGGAAACACACATACCAATAGCGCCACCTATCAATAGTTTCCTTCTACCTATAACATCTGTTAGAAGAATACCTGGGATAGTCGAACCAAAATTAACAATGTTGGTTGCCAAATTAGAAACAAATCCGTTAAGGCCGACACTCTCAAAAAAAGTGGTACCAAAGTAGAAAATGAAATTAACACCAGTCAATTGCTGGAATGCTTGAAGCCAGACACTAGTCATTAATCGTTTGAATTGACGGTGATCCATGGAGAAAACTTGTTTCCAAGAAGATTGTCCGAAATGAGATTCGAAATCATACGCAGCCTTAATATCAGCGTGTTCTTCAACTAAGTCTGGATGGTCAATAGGTAACTTCATTAACCTTGATAATGATTGCTTTGCCTTATCATTGTCTCCTTTTGAAACAAAGAATCTAGGAGTTTCAGGTAAGAAGATCATACCAACACCCAAGATCAAAGACCACAAGAATTGAACACAAATTGGAATCCTATATGAGCCGGAATCGTTCCTAGCGTGGCTCCCTTGATTGACTAAAGAAGCCAACAATAATCCTAAAGTAATAGCCCATTGATAACAGGACACAACAGCACCTCTGATCCATTTAGGAGTAGCTTCAGATTGATATAATGGGATACAGGAAGAAATCAAGCCAACTCCGAGACCTGCGATGGCCCTACCAGCACATAATAATGGAATGCCAGTTGCGGCGGCTTGTAAAATAATACCGATGTTGAAGACAACTAAAGAGGCAAAGATAATAGTAAAACGACGACCAAGAGTATCAGATAACAACGGTGCTAGAACAGCACCGAAAAAGGTACCAGCAGACAAAATGGAAACGATCAAAGATTTCTCGCTGGAAGTGAATTCGGTGTGATTGGCAGCGAATTCCTTGACAACGTACTTCATAGCAAGAATACCTGAAATAGTACCGGTGTCATATCCGTAAAGAACACCACCAAAGGCAGCGAATGCACCAACGAATATCCCCATGGTGGAAGAACCTCCCTTTTTCTCACCGACATTAAGGAATCTTTTCACTATCTTGTTGTTTTCTAATCCCATCGTAGCAGTTAGAAATAAAGTTAGGAATTACATGTGCTTGCCTAAATATGAAGAGAACTAAACGAGAATATCGGATGGATTTATATACTATTGATTTTCTGGTTTCTATTGACAATAAGATCAGGTTCGTAAATCAGAATCAACCCCAAAAGTTTGCTCAGCAAAAAATCCATTTTAGAAATGCAACACCACCACTAATTAAAAGCCATTAGGTGGAGAAAGATTAAGCTTCAGCTGAAACAATAGGTTCTACCCCGATTTGTGGTTTGGTGAAACAGATCTGGGTCAGCGGCTTTATTACGATTACCATTTCAAAAATACGAATCAGTCCCTGTTTTAGACGGCTTTACGCTTTAATCCATAGAAGCATTCCCCGCGTTTTGCTTTCGTGGGGTGCATGGCAGGGCACGGAAAATTTTCCTGTTGGGAAGGATCTCCGATGCTCGAGAGATATTTTGTGATGTTCGGCACTTCTTATTACGTCAAAAAAAGCATTGAAGACCCTAGTTCAGAGCAAATCAGGACGAAATGGAGCCATCAAGCAGCAATACGAGCTATCCCCACGTGTTCTTTTATCCTTAGTTTAGTTTATTCCTAATTGTTGATTTCCCCGAATTAATATTATTTAGGTCGCGTGATGAGGATAGGCTGCCTGGGGAATTCGGAGCTCAGTTTTGCGATTTAGTGAGGTAAAATAATCCGAATCTATTGCGTGATCTCTCTAAAGAGTTAACCTAGAAAGAGTGTGTCAATTTATACTCCACATTCAGGAAGCTTAGCAGGCTCTTGCCCTTTCCAAACCCAGAAAGACTTAAAAGACCAAATTTGAGAACATCAACCAAAACGTTGCATGCTATGCAACTCAAGGTGATACTCCGAAATCGTTGAGAATTTTCGATGAAAGTGTGAAGTTCCCAATGTGTCCTATTCTTCTGTCTCGCTTTTCTCCGTGACATGTTCCTATTCAGGTATCTGCATTATGATCCTGTGTTTGAAGACATGCTTCTACCTGATTTTATTTTTTCAGCCTTGCTTCTATCTGATTTTATTTTTTTCCTCACTGCTCTTCGCCTTCCTTTTTTTCATAAGGCCCCTCCAAACTTCCGGCCAAAATAATTTGTAGTCATTCGTGACAGCAACAATAAAAGAATAGGATGTTGGGCCAATATGATAGCTTGATTAGTTCGATGTTATGTCCCAAATTCAAGTTTCGTAGTCGATAGATGTCTCAGTCTGTTGGTGTTCAAGAAATTAGGGTTGAGTATATCAAACAACAACTTCACTTTAATGATCATCTCCACGAATTAAGTAATTCTTGGCAGGTTCACTGGATTCATTAAAGGGAGTACTGTCATCGCTCAAATTGGCAATCGAAAATACGTAGGCAACTAGATAGCTTAAGTCCCATATCTTTCCTATCAATGGTTGTTAGCTTTTTACTCACAATAATTAGTATATTTCAGATAATATCGTTAAATATGATAGTATATAAGTTTTCAGTTCCTAGAATTCATAAATCAAAAACTGTGCCGGTATTTGTTCCAATACAAATAGGTGCAAATTCCAGTGTAGAATTAACGAGAGGTATGGAAAAAATGTACTTAGCTGATAAATATTGGGAAACGAAAAAAAAAAGTATTGAAACCCATAGTATTCAACATTCACGGTTGCAAGAAAGATCTACTTATGAAATAGCATAAGAGAAGATAAATGTTTCAAAGAAAACTTAAAGAGTAATTTGAATAAGATTAAGTTATATTAAGCTTCTACCTCAGATAACCTAACATTTTTCTCATAACGAAGCTCAAGTTGAGATTCAGCTGGTATTTTAGCTATATACTGTCGAGACGCATCAAGCCTTTTTTTGCGGTCTATTTTACTATCGTTTATACCATTCTCTAAGTCGGCTAGATCTGCAGTAAACAATACTGATTGAGCCCAACCCGCATACGGACCAAAAATCTCCTTAAAATATGATCTTATGTCTGAATATACTTTTTTGTTTAAAGTCTTAATATCTTTCCTACCCTTGTATTTGTAATCTCGAATCGCAATCTGGTAAACATGAGTATCTATAGGAACAATATCATGTTTGTCTAGTGCCATAAGACATATACAATCAGCAACTTTGGGTCCTACCCCTGTGAGTTGCAACAAGAATTCGTGAGCAGTTTCATATTCTTCACTTCTCAACCCGTTCAATCTCTCCAATGTTATAGCAGAATGATTTTCATTATCCATGATCATGGACGCAGTTTGATATATATACTTCGCTCGATATCCAAAACCTAACTCCCTGAGTTTTTGTTCAACTTTTGGAGAGCTTGAAAGACTTTTCGCATCCGGAAAAGAGTAATATTTTATACCGTCAACCTCATTAATATAATCACCAAATTCAGTACATAACGAATCACACATTTTTGAAATTCTTTTCACATTATTATTCGATGAGCAAATAAAAGAAATAAGGGTTTCCCATGGATCCTGCCTGAGCATTCTTATGCCAGTAAATTCAACAAAAGGTGAGCTTTTAATCTTACTCTTGTAGACCTGATCCAGTTTTAACCATTCTTCATAGAGAACTTCAAGTTTGACTGATAAGTTAAAATAATCCTTTATAAACCTGAATGTCTCATCAAAGCCATCAGTCGTTTGCTTCAGCATTTTATTCTTCTGCATGATCCACGAATAGTGAATAAATTGTTCATCCTGCTTCAATAGAATAATTCTATCTTTCGTAGTAAAAGACCAAGTATTATTAATATTCTTCCATCTAAAGGTCTGACCACACCTGAGGACTTTGGATAGGTTCACTTCTAATGGTGAGATAGGAAACTTTTTCCAGATTATGTCTTTGGTCATTTCCAATATCTTATTCCCACTATAAGTTTTAAAAAAAAGATAACGAAAAAGTCGCGTAGTGAACCTTTTAAGTTCGCGCGCGCGTGTACAAACTTCAAATGCATCACTTCTAATTTTTTCATAATTACATGCCTTAAGATAAAGACAATGGAAAGCAGATGTCCTCTCTGTTTCAAAAATTTCCCCACTGGAATATTAGAGTCTCATGTTAACATATGTTTGGATCAGTTGGAGTTGAAGGATCCTTCCCTGCTTAACAATCAGCTACCAACAAGGCTGAAAAGAAAGAACGAAGATGCAGTCTCTACTAATAAAGGATCCAAGGACGTATTTAGTGCTTTAGGATTAAGGATAGATTCCTCCGAAAAGATCCGTAAGACTGATCAGAAGAAAGTACAAAAAGAACGACCCACATTAACCAGTATACTCATTGCAGAGAGAAAGCTTCGAGCAAAGACCAAGAGAGGAGCGCAAGACTTAATCACTACCAAACAAGAAAAAGACTCCGACGAGCCAATAATAGAAATCAAGAAGGAGAAGGAGAAGGATGAAACCTTTTCTGTACAAAGCCAGGAAACTAAAAAAGTGGATTCTCCAAGAATATTAAATCTGCGTCAGATGGCAAATGAAGGGAATGAAGTCGATGAACAAAGTATTCAATATTTGAGAAAAGATTCAACTATACCTCTTGCTCAGCGTATCCGTCCAAAGAAACTTGAAGATTTTATAGGACAAGAGCATCTTTTAGGAGAGCAGGGGATTTTGAAGAATATTACCCAATCCGATATAATTCCTTCGTTTTTGCTCTGGGGATTACCTGGAGTTGGAAAAACGTCATTGGCAAGAATAGTGGCAAAATCTGCCAACTATAAATTTGTAGAAGTGTCCGGCTCCGAAGGAAATGCCAAGAAACTAAGAGAAGTATTCACAACAGCCGATAACGAAAAGAAATTAACCGGCAGGAAAACTATTTTATTCCTTGATGAGATCCACAGATTTAATAAAGCGGTTCAGGATCTTCTACTACCAGTTATTGAAAAAGGAACCTTGACTGTGATAGGGGCCACTACTGAAAACCCATCTTTCAGCCTCAATAATGCCCTACTTTCGCGTATGCATACGTTTGTGATGCATCCTTTATCTACAGATGCCATTGTAAGGATAATATACAAAGGCTTATTTCAAATAAACAGGACGCGGAAGTATATACATGGATTGCACCACATTGCTCTCAAAAAAGATGCCGCTAATTATCTTGCGGAACTTAGTTCAGGTGATTCCAGAACCGCCTTGAACTTATTGGAAACCCTACATGCATATCTCTCTAATTCGAATTTCTCTAGCTCGAATGATATCAAAATAGACAAAGGTTTGAAGAAACACAAAAATCATGGTATTGTCGTTACTGCAGAGTTGTTGAAACCACTATTAAGCTCTCAAAATTTTGTTCTGATGTATGACAGACAAGGTGATATGCACTACGATACTATAAGCGCTTTTCACAAATCAGTAAGAGGATCTGATGCCGATGCTGCGATATTTTATCTTACGAAGATGTTAGCAGGAGGTGAGGATCCGTTGTTCATAGCAAGGAGGATGATTGTTATCGCAAGTGAAGATATCGGGTTGAGGGATAGCTCATGTCTTCCTTTCGCCATTGCTGCAAAAGAAGCTGTAGAATTTATAGGGATGCCTGAGGGAGAGATAGTCTTAGCTCATTGTGCGGTGAAGCTTGCAAGAAGTCCGAAATCAACAAAGTCCTATCGAGCTTTGAGAAGTGCCCAATCGCTATTGAATGAAAAACCAGAAATCAGTGCTATACCAATCCCCTTGCATTTGAGAAATGCGCCAACAAAGTTAATGAAAGAGCTAGGCTACGGCAAATCGTATAAATATAATCCGATTTTTATATCAGGAAAAGTTGAACAATCATACATGCCTGAAGAATTGAGTAAAGTGAAGTTTGTTGAGAAAGAACACTTGGGAAAAGTAGAGGATCCTGAAGTTGACCCAGCCGAGCTAGAAAAAGCAAAACGAGCAGATGAACTATATTTGAGTTTCAAAGAATTCAAGCGAAGAGAACTCGAAATGGAGTATTTGAAAAAAGCGGAAATAGAAAAGCGCTCTAATAATGAGAAATCAAAAGATTCTAATGAAAGGGAGCGATTATCTAGGCTAAGGTTGAGATTGAAAATCCAGAGTTTACTTAAAAACGATCCTATCTTCCTCAAAGACATTTTAAGCAAAAGCTCTAATGATTTAAAAAATGAAGATGCAAAACAAGTAATTTCGTCCTCGCTTAATGATACTAGTCGCTCAAAAACTCAAGAGGACAGAATCAACGATTCTTCAAATCCTGGCTACTCTTATGACGAGTTTCTTAGCAAAGACGATCAACCGGAGTATTTTGACGGAGAGGAAAAGGATCAATATTCAGATGATCCTGATTGTACAAATAATTTTGAAAGATCTTATGACGAATTCCATGATGTAGCTGAACAGTCGTCTACGTACCGAATGGATGATGATGATACGAACTACATGCCAGAATACCCTATTTCTTGATTGAAGATATATAATTTTAATATACAGGTCGTGATATTGTGCACATATTCTATCTATCGATATACATGCGTCCCCTTGTTTATTATACAAAGTATGTGTGGCAGATTTTCATTAGGAATTGTAAGTATTATCAGCAGTTTACTACTATTCAAGCTCTTAGATTAACAAAGCCAGAATATTAATGATTTGCCGCTGGTGTTCAATGACACAGTACAAGAAGGAGCAAACCAGGCACTGGCAGAATCGGCAACAGACTTGAAAGAAGTTTCGAAAGATAGATACAAAGCATACGATTCAGATGGTCAGCTTGGATATGAATTGTTTTTATCTGATATAGCCGCTTTCAAATCTTCTTATAACATTGCTCCCACTAATGATGCGTTAATCATCTATGCCAAAAATTCCGATAGCACAGACAAGCTTGTTTATATTGTCGAGACACTGAAATTCGGCTTAGTTCCTATGTGGGCAAAGCCAAAAGATTCTCTGCCTGTCAGAAGAGGTGGGAAGCCAGGACCGAAGTACTCTAAAGAAATTCAAAAATACGAATCTATGTACTTCAACTGTAGAAAAGAAACTCTAGCACAAAAGAAAGCAATATGGAATAGCTGCAAGAACAATCGGTGTGTCATTCCTATACAAGGATACTTTGAATGGCTCAAAAAGGACAATAAGAAGATACCATACTTTATTTCCGATTCTAAGCAGCCCTTGGTTTATTTGGCAGGGTTTTATTCCCATAACACTAATTATAAGGATGTGGTTGAAGATTCAAGGGGCTATATATCTTCTTTTACTGTAGTAACGGGACCGGCCGATAAAAAAGATTCTAAGGATTTATCTTGGCTCCACAACAGAAAACCTCTTTTGGTTGCACCAGCTTCAAAGGAATGGTTCGATTGGTTGAACCCCAAAGCAAAGTGGTCCGAAACGCTTTTATCAACTACGTTGGATACTATTAATAATGAAGCATATTTGCATATCCAGAGTTTTAAAGTTTCAAAAGATGTCGGGAATCCAACTACTGAGGGCGCTTATCTTATTAGGGAAGATAAAGGATCCCAAAAATCTATCGAACTGTTTCTCCAGAGTTCTAAGAAAAGTCCCAAGAGAAAGACTGAAGAGGATTATTCCCCTAACAAAAGAGTGAAAAACGAATCTCATAGTATCCCCACAGAGAAGACAGAAACGGAAATTAAAAAAGATATTAAAGAAGAGAATGAACAAAAAATTAAAATGGAGCCTTCAGGCGATTAGCGGATTTGAATTTCATCGAATCTTGGAATCGTTTTTTATATATTGCATTTTAAATAAATGGTAGTGCGCCGGGTGTGTTTAATAAATTTTTCAACTTCAACTGAGAATATATTCATTATCGAATTAAGTAGCTTCGAATATAAGGCTCGAGCGAGCAATATGTATAAGAATCCATCAATATCAGTACCGCTTAGCAAAATATACAGAGTTATCTCTCGGAGCTCTTCGAAGAGTGCTTCAAATGAGCCTCTTTATCTTAATCCGAATGCTTGGAAAGGATTACCACCCGACCGAATTTTTGAATTGCATAATCTACGTAAGGAACACATGGGAGAGAAATATGTTCCAAGTGATGACGAAAGAAATGCTATATTATCAACATATAACAGCTTGGGGAAAGTGAAGCCAACTTTGGATTATGCTTATGAGATTGACAACTTCAAAGAAAGACACATGAATAATACTCCAATTAACTTGAGAGGCCTACCCCCCAAAAGAAGCAACATAAATGTAATTGGCAAAGGTGCGACACCACATCAAAAGCGTAAAATAGAGCAATTAGTGAGAGTTAGTGCTTATGAAATGCCGTTGTTGGCAAAGTTTCGTCAACCATACAACCCGAGCCCCTCTGGAGAGAATCCTTTGAAATTAATCTTCAGTACGGACTTTTCCAGTGAGAGGAATTCCTCAAATAGAAAGGTACAAATTAAATGTAATCTTAAAGATTTAAACTTGAACGAGACTGAAGAAAGAAATTTGAAGTTATTGGCCGGTAATAAATTTGATTATCATAAAAATGAAATTCATTTTTCTTCAGACAGTTTGCCTGAGGCTACACAGAATGCCCGTCAACTAGTAGATACTTTTAACAGATTATTAAAAGAAGCGAAAACATTGAACGATGAATTTGCGGACATTCCATTGGATAAGCGTCATATGAAGCCGAAGAGAACACAAATTAAATACATAGAATCTTGGAAAAGACCCGAAGATGCTCCTTTAAAAAAATATAAAATAGTTTCAAGTTTGGTGCAGAAAGTGAAAAGTCATAAGGATGAGAATTATATTGCGAAGTATTCTCCATAGCTTTTATAACCCTAGTTAGTTTTGTCTTGTATATAATGTATTCAATTCTATCTAATGTTATATGCAGAATAACATACTGTTTGTCGAAGGATGTTTCATTGAGCTATCAATCTTTGTATTCTATAGGTATAATAAAAAAAGTAGCCTTTAATATATGACTATCATTTAAAACTGAGATAAATCAATCTCAACTTTGCAAATAAAGTTTAATTTTAGGATGGCTGTCGAATCCCATCCGGCATCAACGACATTAAATGACATTATTGATGAGCTCAAATTAAAGTATGATTCCTCAGTGGGTTTATTAGAAGGTGAATCTGTGAGAGGAATACCAAGCTTAAATACATTATTGAATGTGAGCAAGCTTTTCAATAATTTTGAAAAAGAACTACGACTTATTGAACAAGTAGATGAGGACGTCTTGAATAGAGTTGCAATAATACGAGCCAAAAACAAAGAAAGTGTAGAGAATGGAGAAGAGAATGTTCATACGAAAGAAGATGGGGTTGCTCGTAACAAACGAGGTAAAGCAAATGATGAAGATGATTATGATGTAGTAGATGATGATTCTTCTCATGTGTCCAAGAGAAGAAAGTTGAGTACTCTGCCACAACTTAAGAGGGAGGATGAAGACAATGACGAGGACGAGGCTGAAACCGCAGACTCTCTTTCAAAAGAAAACGGTCAAAGTGATGGATCTCTACCACCAATTCAGACCGGATCATATACTCAGGATAATGACACAAGATTAAAAAATCCTAAATCTGAATTTGTACCATCACAGACTTTATCTGCTGCAGCAATTGCAGATTTGGGCTTGTTCTCGGAAGACAATAATGGATTAGAAACTCAGGGTAAAGATTACTTAAAAAGAAAGTATGGAGTGGCTTCATATCCTGACAATGATCTCCAAAATTTTTTACCTGGGAAGATTCCTGACGTGGATTTCTCTAAAAACAAGCCTCCCTCTAATCAAGTTCAATTTTCTACATTTCAATCTTACATTGAATCTTATTTCAGACCCTACACTAATGACGACTTGAAGTTTTTAAATGAAAAATTTGTTATTCCTCCTGGCTTTGGAAAGACGAATTATGATCCAAGTCTTCATCCATACATTATTCCAAAGCTAGGTCAATTTTATGCTAATGCGTGGGCCGAAGAGGATGCAACATTAGGCTCGAAATTGAATTCACCTCAATACCAGCAATCGCTAGAGTCTTTCAAGCCAAGAGGCTCTATTGACAATTTATCAGATGATAAACTATATACTGAGGAAATATCTTGTGGCCCACTTTCAAGCAGGCTTCTATCTGCGATATTGAGCTCTCATGAAGGTAATGGAAATGATGATGAAAGCTACGCAGAAAATAATATACAAGCGGATGATCAAGTGGCGACACAGTTGAATAGTGGCGAAGATTATAAAATAACTACGGATTCTAATGACTTTTATTCAATTGAAGAAAGACTTAAAAGAGAACTAAAATATATAGGGATTTTCATGAATTTGTCAAATACCGATGAAGAAAGGAGTCCAAAATTCAATGGACGAGTTTTTAAAAGTGAAGGTTCCATAGTGGATACCGATGATTGGATCAAAAATAAAGAAGATGATGAAGTGTGTGCGGAGATCAGATCATTGCAAAAAGAATTGAAGGGCGCGGTTTTGAGAAATAAGGTAAACAAGAAAAAGTTGATACCTTTAGTTGAAGAACAAATAGCGTATCAAGAATACTGCACAATTTTGGAAGACTTAGATAAACAGGTTGATCTGGCTTACCTGAAGAGGCTTAAGGCGAAAAATAAGAAGAAGAAGACTGAAGCGACGCCTCTTCAACAACAATCTGCTAATAATGGTTTACGTGCTTTATTGGATAAGAGAAAGAGATGGATCAACAATATTGGAAAGCTATTCAAATCCCCTGAGATCATGAAGAGACCACCAGAAACATCCATTTTGAAGGGCGAAGGAGAAGATGAAGAAGAAGAAGGAGAAGATGAAGACATCGAAGATACTACGGATCAACTTATTCAAAAATGAAATTATTTATTTTGTATAAATATGCAAATCTCAATTAACGTACCATGCCTTGAGTAATGTATTCAAGTGAAGGTAAAGTCTTTACATTTCCAATGGCCGCAAGTGCTATTGGTTTACCTTTAAGTCTGTAGTTTGCCCAATCGACGATATCCTTTTTAGTGATTGATTCGACTCTTTCAAAAACATCTTCAGGTGATAATCGAAACCCAGTATTAACCAATTGTCTACCAATATCCTCGGCTATAGCAGTGGAGTCATCCAAAGCCAATACTAATGAAGCTTTAAGCTGAGCTTTAGATCTTTCAACTTCATCTTCAGTTATATTTCCCGATTTCAATCTTCCCCATTCTGCCACTACAGCATCAACGAAGCTTTTTAAATTTGCATCCTTTTCCGCTGTGAAATAAACACCCATCAACCCCGTATCAGCATACGAAGTTGTGTACGCCATATAAGAATTCGCGATGGGAGTTTGATTGCGACCCCCTATTGCAGCTGTAACTGCTAAAGGGGAAGGGGAATTTGACCCAATTCCAATAGATCTATCCCATGTTCCTATTATACCATTTGCCACTGATGCTGTAAAGAAGTCAGGAGCCGACCAACTGACGCCCTCTACCGCTAGTGCAACATGAGTATTTGGTAATGAGTCATCCTGTATCCGAATTTCGTCGCCATAAAAAATAGGTAAGCTACCACCATTTTGATTAAATGGCTTGTCGCTCTTTTTTATGTGACCGAAATACTTCTTGGCTTTATCAACAAGATCATCATGATTTACGCACCCGACACCTATTAAAGCCATTCTATCTCCTTTATAATTTGTGTTTATATAATTAACCAAATCATTCCTATTGATGGTTTTTATCAAATCTCTTGGACCCAAAATGGTTCTTCCTAGATCCTGACCCTTGAATGTCACGGCATGTAAATGGTCAAACACTACCTCATCGTACATCTTATCCACTTCGTCACTTTCTTGTAAGATGACATGTCTTTCGTTTTCTATTGCCCTCTCCTCTAACTTTGATTTCGTGAGTAGATCGCTCAAGATATCAATATTCTGCGTAATATCACTTTCCAAGCATTTGGAATAATAAACAGTGTTTTCTCTTGAAGTATATGCATTGATCTGGGAGCCAATATTTTCTATCTCTAGTTCTAGGTTTAACTGGGTCCTTCGGTTCGTGCCTTTGAAGGCCAAATGTTCCAAAAAATGTGCAGTTCCGCTGCTCTTCGAAAAATCAGCTCTAGAGCCAGCATTAATCCAAACTCCTACTGTCGCTGTTCTTGTACCGGGCATCAGCTCACTTGCCACCGTCAAACCATTATCTAATACTGTAGTTTGAAACTTTGGATTTGAAATTGTAGCGGTGCCAAAGTATTTTCTAGCTAAGTTAAAAGGGCTCACTTTATTTAAATGAGGAATCCTACGAATCATCCTGGTTGTAGTCAAAAAAGACATATTGGTATTCTTGGTAAGCTCCGACCTTTTGTAAGAAAGTCAAATGTAGTTAACACAAAATTAAATTGTTTCACAAAAATGTATCTAAAACTCGAACACTGTTGAATTAAGTACGCGACAGAACCATTCTCATAGATTAGATACAAAGGATTGGGCACGATTAGAAGATGGTATCAACATCGCCAGCAGTTGTTATAGATAATGGGTCATATACCACAAAGGCTGGGTTTGCTCTAGAGGATTTGCCATCCTTAGTTTTCAATTCAAATTACCTGATAAATACAAGCGATGGAGCTAAAGCTGTGATTGGAGATGACGAAATATTAGCAGAGCCTGAGAACGAGGTAATGACGTTGATGGAAAATGGCTTAATATATAACTATGATCATATCATTGACAATTGGAACTATGTGTACGAAAATATTGATAACAATAATAGTATTAACCCCAAGGAGTTTCCTTTAGTGATAACTGAGCAGACTTGGAATACTTCTAAGAATAAGTTGGCCGCAACCCAAATTGTATTCGAGACATTAGAAGTTCCCTTGTTTTCGTTAGTCAAAACACCGTTAGCACAGCTCTATCATACGGGGAAAGCGACCGGGCTTGTTGTGGATATCGGATCTGCCGTTGCTAGCGTCACTCCTATTTTGGATGGCATTATTCAATCGAAGGTTTCGTTCCACACGAAGTATGCTGGAGATTTTGTGAACCTAAGTATTTTGAATCATTTGGAAAAATTTGGAACTCTAGAGGATTTCCTTCCTGCGAAATATCACAGCGCTAGTTCATCTTTTAAAAACTTTTACGCCAGTCGTAACTTGATTCAGGAATTTAAAGTGGCAAGCACACCCGAGTATCAGTTTCATAAGGGCATTCAAGTCAAGAGTAATGGTGTTGATTTTTTTTCAAGCTTATTCCAACCCCAATTATTAAATGTCCCTAATGTTAATATCCCTGAGCCAGTATTGGATAAACCTCAAACGCATGGCTTAGTAAATCTTATATTTCATAGCTTAAAGAGTTTGGAAGCATCAATAGTTCAATCTGGTGGTCAGAACAGTAGTAGATTTGCTCGCTTCAATGAAATTTTGAAGACTTTATTAGCTAATATCGTCATAACTGGAGGTTCATCTTTGGCTACGGGTTTATCAGATAGAATATTGAATGATGTGAGAGCATATGCAGCACTGTATTTCCCTAATTATGGATTTAACCCATACTATATACAAACAATAAGCAATTATCAGGCCGGAGATGTTAATGACACTTGGAACAGGCTATTAGGAGGGTGGCTTGGAGCCAGTAATTTGGCAGGTATGCTTAATGATACAGGCGAGGAAACAAACGGAGTAAATATAGCTTTAGACAATTGGTTTGTTTCCAAATCAGACTATGAAGAATTGGGTGAGGATTTAATCTTAGAAAAGTTTAAATAGAATGCTTTTTATATGTAATATATTTGTGTATATCTTAGAATATGAAATTCAAAAATGTAAATCTTCTATGTACAATATCAAAAGTGAGATCTAGTTTTTCCAAGAGACGTATTTATCATCATACTTGGAAGCCTCTCCGTGAATACTTAATATCTTTTCAAGCTTCATTTCTAAACCTAATTTGTTGTTCGTATTACTCTTGAAATACTTAACTACTTCACTTGGGGTAGGCAAATATGATCTACCCGAGCCATCATTTCCAGTAATGTAATTTTCAACATCCTTATTGCTCGGTAATCCCATATTAAATGGATATGACTTATAATCAATTCCAAAAAACTTTTGAATAAAAGGCTGATCTAATTTCGCCGTGTACAAAGAGGGTTCCAAAATTTTCTTTATTGAAGCATCGGAAACTAAATCACCGGTGTTCCACTTAGGTTGTGGAGGAGACTTAATTTTATCGATTAACTTATGAGAAACACCTTTGACAAAGTCATTCATTTCAGGCTTAATATTCATAATGTTAGTAGCAGCAATTAACTCTAATTCCAATTGCTTTTTGATCGTGTTCTTTGAGCCATGGTTTAAAAGCTCAAAACCTACCTTGAGCGATGACAAAGGTTTGGTGGACAATTTCTTAACCACTGACTGGCCAAACTCGGACCCATCTTTATCAAAAACGTCAATAACCTTCTCAAAAGACGACTGAGAGAATGCATTATTAATTAACGTTATTTGCTCTTTAGTGAGCGGATACGTATATCCATCAGGCAATTTGGTTTCAGTGAACTCTTCAATTGCTTGATTGATCTGAGCAAAGTAATCCTTAGAATTCTTCAAAATAGAAGCATCATTTGGTTTGTCATTCACAACAGGAGGCTGCAAGTTAGATAATCTATTAACTAATTGAGGTATGCGCTCTGATGGGACGTAATGGGTCGCAAAACCTGCCATGTATGCATCTAACCCTGATAACACCTCTCCGGTTAAAGCATAGTAATAACCAAGCTTATCGTCCAATCGAGGCAAAAAGAACGTAGTACCAACATCTGGAAAAAATCCAATATCCATCTCTGGCATGGCTAACTTAGTTCTTTCTGTCGCTATTCTGAATGGGGCGTGGACGGACAATCCAACACCTCCTCCCATGGTAATTCCGTCCATGATAGAAATATAAGGCTTCGAATATGTAGATATTAAATAATTCATGTTGTATTCGTTTTGAAAAAAATTAGAAGCGTAACCTGGGTTGCCTTCCTTAATCTGTTTAGCACATTCAGCAACATCACCTCCAGCACACAAGCCTTTGGGAGAATTCGAAGTCAAAATAATCACATTATTAACACTAGACTTCGCGTACTCTAAAAGTCTTGGAGTTATCTTTGTGACCATTGAAGTATTCAATGAATTCAACTTTTTAGGTCTGTTCAACGTGATAACCCTTGCTAAATTCTTGTTGGAGAATAAAACATCGTCTTCGGCATAGCCAATGACGTTTGAGTTGTTAGATGCCATTCTTATAGATTTCTTAGTCCTTAAATGATTATTTCGATAAAACTGTTTCAATTTAGTTCTTATCATTTTAAGAAACTCTTCTCTATATATAATTTTTATGCTTTCTTTGCTGACAGGGTTTACACTAAATGGCCGTGTCCTTGTGATTAGGCTCAAAAAATTTCTCCTCACTTTATATTTAATTTTGTGTAACTTGTGTCTTAATAGATGCCAAGCCAGGCTAATGTATTAAGGTATCTATACAAGACATATAACCCATGTGAACAAAAACCAAATCATAGTGAATTTGGATTGTACTAAACGAACTGAAAACCCTTGATAAATAAATACTTTTGCTTTCACTGAGTAACTTCAAAGACTTCATACTAAACTATATTGGTTGATGAGGTTGCATTCTTCTCTCTTATCGTCATCTGTGTCCTTCGGAAGCTGATACTGATAAAAATTCCCAGTTTGATAAGAAGCTATCAAAATTAACAGACCACTAAAACCAATTTCGACTTTGTTTTTGGTGTGGTTTGGTAATGGAGAATATTCCGGAAGTTTTATAAATGCAAAGGATCTCCTCGGTGGTTCCCAAATTAAATTCTCAAAATAATTTTTGTAAGGAAGTTTCTTAATTATTGATTTAGTGTAATGATTATTAATCAACTTGGAGGAGGTCTTCAATGTGAAGTTGAAGTAGCCTTTGTCTTCTGCTTCATGTGCCGAAGGCTTAGAGATGAGAAGGTTGGCCAAATTTTCGTTCAAATCTTCAGAAGATTTACTACTTTCATCATCTGCTTCACTTTCATTCGTAGTTATTTCTTCCTCAGATTCGCCTGATGTGCGTAACTTGAAAAAATGAATGGTGCCGCTCTCGGAGCCACACCCCAAAACAGAATGGTCTTGATTGAAACTCAAAGTATTTATCCTCGTCAAATGGTGACCACGCCTTAAATTTGTGATTTGCGAGATTTTGGCCTTCTTTTGAATTTCCAAATGATGGTAATCTAAATGACAAACACGTATAATGGTCCCCTTAGTAGATGCTGTTGCAATTTTCTTATTATCATTTGAAATAGTCATTTTAGCTATACTCGAGTCATGAGCCTTGTATATCAAGATTGGCTTTAAATTGATTGAGTCGTATACTAAAACCCAACCATCACTGTCCTTTTTTAGATCTTCTAACGTAATGTCTTCTTTTTTAGCAAAATGTGAGTTGTTGTTTTTTTGCGTTAGCTCAATTAAGGAGTCTAGGGAATTTGAGACAGTTGAATCACTTGGCTTCATAACTGGGGTTGATGTACGACTCGCTGAGACAGCATTAAATAAATCCGTTTGGTCATTTATAATAGAAAGCGGTAGAATTAAGTATGAACTATCATCGGCGCTCAAATCCCCCACTAATTCCAAACGTTCATTGGATTCATTAGACACATATGGCTCAACTTCTAAGACTTTGACTAGCCTAACACAACTCAAATCATAAATATATATTTGACCTATTTCTAGAAATACCAATAGCCTTTTTCTGTTGAGTCTGATGTCAATGATATTAGAAGGAAAAGTCAACTCGCATATCTTCAAGTTCTGTTTAAGATTATATATCTTAAGTAGCCTATTGCCCAATTTTTCTTTAGAACTTGGAACGATTATTGTCAAGGACGTCGAGAATAACATCTTCAAGTACGCTGTAGGATGTTCCTGGACTTCATTGTCCTTATGGTTTGTGCTCTGTTCACTATCCTCACTCAATGATATAGACTTTTTCCTTGTACTATCATTAGAAGAATAGAATTCCCCAAACGGTTCACAATTGAATATCTTATGGTACTTAGATGTAGATATTGAGATGCAAGAATGGCCCTGATTAAAAGATAAGTTATTGATTACTACCATAACGCCGTTGAGCTCGTTAGTACTAATGAGGTCATTTATATTTTAAATAGAGCGCGTACTTTATATTTTCGTTCCATTCTGAGTATGAAGCGATCTAAAGAGTAAACTATATTTATTCATCTACCTCTTCTAATACCACTTTTCTTCTGTTCACTGAAGTGTCATTTTTCAAGGCTCCAGAAGCTTCAGATTCTGGCGTCCCCTTAGAGTCACTAGAAGTAGAATTATTTGTCTCTTCCAAGCTCTTCTCTGATTGTGACTTTTTTGATTTCTTCAGTTTCTTGGGTTCTTCCCAGCCATATAGTGGCTGAAAACTCTCAATGACCCCACAGTCTTCAAACAAATTGGGGAACAACCAAAATGGCTTCGGGAAGGCGAACAAGGATATAACGTATATAATGAGTCTGATAATAGCGAGCACAAAGAATAAACCTAAGACACATAAGGCACCCATAGATAGATACCACACTCCAATTTTCATAAATGACGGCCACAAAGGAAATAATATTACAGTAAATACACCAGCAATAGTTAAAATACTGTATAGGAAAATGTATGGATTTGGCTTAGCATACGTCCAAACATAGTATGCATCAGGATCCAAATTTGCTTTTTGGACAGGTTTTAATGTAGGTTTCAGTTTATTAGGTTTCCATCCTTTAACCTTTTTCACGTCAGCGTAATGAAGCTTTTCGACAGGAATAACTAATTGATTCTGAATCAAAAGAATGAATAATTTTGCAACTTCTGGTTGACTAGTTAATGGCACCAAACCATTCTTGGGGTTCTGCTGCTTCTTTTTGTAATCATCACTCAACAATGCCCTCTCTAATCTTTTAAATCTAAAGAAATCCACATCATCAGCGTTATTTAACAAACCGGTTCTATGTTTGAGAGATTTGTTGTCCCTTAGATAATTGGCTATATTTAAAGCCACTGGGGACCTTTGGTTTGTTGTAGTTATCTGCTGCTGTCTGTCTGACATCTTGATGAAATAAGATAGAGATCCAATAACGTGCTAGCCATCGAAGAAATGTCTATGTGGTCTGATTTCCGATATTAAAATTTCAATGAACTATACACAGGTTCATATTACTATATATTATTTGACGTAAGGTGGACTACTTTTCAACTAATTATTCTTTTTTCTTACTAACTTTTAAGGGAATGCTTCCTATCTTAAAGTGTGTTGATGATGACCTTGAATGTGCAGATAAATGTCTAGAAGCACCAGGACTTCCATCTGAAGCTAGAGAGGTGGCCAGCGACGGCGGATGATTTCGACCGAAAGCGTTTGGAGAAAAGCTCTTAGCCAATAGTGGTCTCTGGCTTATGAAGTGAGCACTCTTTGCCTTAGGGATGGACAAGATTATATTTGAATCTTTCTCCTTCGAAGCATTGTTGCTATAGGTAGGAGCCAAGTCTGGAGCTACATCATCATCTTCATCAATTGCCTCTTCGTAAGAAGGTACCTTATTCAGGAGAGGTAAACTTGGAGTTCTGGGTCTCGCATCCCGATCAACTGGCTTCAATTTAGTGACATCCAAATTAAAATAACCTGAAATATTTGGCGTCGAAGGATTTGAACCTGTTGGGGAAGACGGATTGCTGGGACTTCTAAAATCCCCGTACATTTGAGGCAGCGACATATCATAAACTTTATCTAAGTAATGCTGGTTGTAGACAGGCGGAGCGTCATCGTCTCTGTCCATATCGTTTACCTCAAATTCCTCAATTTCTTCTTCTGGACTTTGCGGAATTGAATTGCTTTCTCTCTTATCTTTTTTAAACAAGACATCCTCCTTCGAACTATCTGGAATAAAATATCCATTATGAGGCTCAACCTCATAATGCTTTCCAATGACGTGCCCTGCATTTGCACTCAAGTATATACATACGGGAAGGTTTGCTCTAACTTCACTTATATGTCCTTCTTTGTTCTTTAATTGTATTGCAATTCTCAATCTATGTCTAACTTGCAAAATGTTATCTTTGAGATCACAAGATTGAGTAATTTCAGAAAGACGCTCTGGTACCTTAAAAAATGTTTTGACATGCCATTCATCTACAGATTCTGGCTCCAGGAATGGCATGTTCTGTTTTCCCACTTGTTCAAATTCGGAAAGTACGCCTTCATTATACGCCAAGCGATAATTCTGCACTATTGATCCAGTCAAGCCTTTGAGCGTCAATCCTTTAGCTATAGGAACGATTAATATATTAATAGGAACTGTTGCTCCAATGGGAAGCCCTTTTTTTGGGATAGACACATTATACTGAAGCTTCCCTGCCCAAGAATTATTCACATCGATGCTATCGGTTAAATTCAAGTTTCTTGGGTGCAATGTTCTTACGATTCTTATATGCTTTGACTTTTGAATTGCCTTTTCAAAACGACCCCTTTCTATAGTGCATGTCACCTTATATAGTAACTGGCTACATTTCAAGCCTTCTACCGTCTCAGGTATGTTTGCAGGTAGATATATCTTGAAAGGTAAATTATAGTTTCCTTTAGGTAATAAATATGAGTGAAGGGGCGATGATTTCTGGCCCTTAAAAGGAGTTCCATCAATTCCACTCTTGGGAAGCCTTATCAAAGAGCTCGATATGCCATCCAACGAAGGTTGAGATTTAGTTCTCAGATAAGATGGTCTCTCACTTGCTGGAGAACTTGCTTCTTTGGATTTCTTTAGAGAACCTAGCTTTTGATATTTAATGTATTTATCGCCATAATCACCGAATTTTATGCATCCGTCGGGAGAAGTCAACAAATTACTCCAGGTCACTTTCAAAGCACATAGTCTTTCGACAACCAGGTTCACTATGTATCCGTTAGATCTTTGAACGAACTCAATGTTGAACTCAGATATCAAATTGAGTTTAATTCGTCTCACATGCATATCTTCATTTATAGAGAGTTTTACAGAGCCTTCAAATGGAATAGAATCACATTCTGATTCATTACCCTTAATAAGAATCAAGTCTTTGTGGTTTGATTTAAGCTTAACATCAAAAAAAGCAAGGTTAGAACTATGGTTCCTGACCATTTTGGTGACCTTTGCGTTGTATCGTTCGGGCCCCTATGATATCTAAGCTATTTAGGCAGCCGTCACTTGATTTAAAAAAGATGAAAATATTGCTATAATCTTGAGCATCGCAAGGTTGACAGCCAAACTTTTCGGCAACATGCACACATCGCTACTAATTTGAAACGCAAGGAAAGTATTTCCAAGCCGCAAGGCTGTACACGCAGCAATAAAAAAGGTTGAAAATTCGAGGCAGTCGAATTAGAGTCACTTAATTGTTATGCTTCTTTCTAGTCAAAACGTAGTTAAGGGAGCTGAAGATGCCAAAATGGTTTGTGAAACGGTAAGTATTGTTCATATGCTAGCCTATTCTAATGTAATCTGCAGCAATACAGGCGGATATGCTCGGAGAAACATCGTGTACTCTGCATATGCAGGATGCGTTTTACGATGTGTACATATTTACATCGGAAAGTGGCTGCAACTGAAGTAAGGAAAGAACGAAATTCAGCAGCACTAGTAAAATCCCGCCTGCTTCACAACAATATTTTCAGTTAAAGCGTTAACCTTTACCCTTTCTTTCTGTAGTTCACTTCTAGCCTGCTCCTTTATCGATCATTTTTTTCATATTTCTTTTTTGAGCAGACTAAAAATGATAGCTTTTGGAAATTTTTATGCTTTCTTACTAAAAATTCAAAATCAACATAAATGCAGAAGAAATAAGTTTTAAAGGAAAAAAAATCCATAATATATATTTAAGTTCTATTTTATTTAAAAGACATCGTTGGTGGTAATATTAGTCAGATTTATCATCTGGGGAGCCAGGGTAGTCCAGTAAAGCTACTCGACCAACGAGCAATGCTAACGTCTCAAGCACCTCTGAAGGATCTGTCAAGTGGGCAGTTGCGATTGTTTTCTTTGAGGCTGGGCCAACTACTACTGGGTATACGCCGTAGGATCCATAAGCATTCTTTGGGACATTTTTAAGATCCCATTCAGCCTCTATAACTTTTAGAGACTTGAACATATCCTCATCAGTCAAATCATCACCAAGACATAGCATGAAGTCAGGAAGCTTTTCCAAGGGCACATCCTTTTTGTGCTTTTTAATGGATGATGGATCCTGCTTTTCCCCATGATTAGTCAATGCTAATCTTTTTACAATCTCACCCTTATTAACAAATCTTGGTCTTACTTCGATATTTGCCTTTCCGTTCATGACTTCGACATCATACTTATTCGCAACGGTTTCATTCAAGGCCTTCATACACATTTCTGCTTGATAACGCCCCAACTCTGGGTCAGCTCTGCGATAATGCCACGTTAAGGCAACCTTCTTTTTCTCTATGTTAGAGCCAGGAGTCCTCTCAGTGAAATTTCTAAAAACCTTTTCCACTTCGATTTGCCAAGACATGTCAAAAGATGCTGCTAAGTTAATCCACTCTTTGCTTCCAATATCTCTCATGAAACATCCATGCTCAGCGGATAAACCGATATTCATCGACCCTAGCCATTTCTCTAAAAATTCCAGGTCTCTACCCGAAATCACCCAGACCTGATTTTTAGGATCTGAAGACAAAGCTTTTAGAATCTGTATTAATTTTGAAGATGGTATGGCCGCAGCAGGGTCCTTAACTATAGGAGTCAATGTACCATCATAATCAAATAGAAATAGCCTTCTTTTGGAATTTTTATAATTTTTGAGAAGCAAGGGTTTATTTAAGGCTGGAGTATGATTCAGTTGATGAGTTTTAATAACATGTTCAATTAAATGGGACAAAAATTTAGAAGTCCAAGTTTGAACAGTATTTGAAGTCACTTGTTTATAAAGTCTATCTTCTAGCATTTTCTTTTTACCAGCAGACATTAAAAAACTGTCATTAATCGTTTTCGCAATTCCAACTGAATCCCACGGGTTGACTAATATAGCATCTTTCAACACAGATGCAGTGCCAGTAAACTCAGAAAGAATCAAAGGTGAGTGATTTTCTTTTTGGCAAATAACGAATTCCAATGATGTGGTACTCATACCATCCCTAACTGCTGTGACCAAAGCCATATCAGCCACTCTAAGTAGCGCCAAGTACTCATCCTTGTTGATTCTCATCTGAAAATGGACCACTGGAGTGTAGTTTAAATTACCAAATTCGCTGTTTATATGGTTTACTAGTTCAGTTACTTGTTTTTCAACTTGGGCTGAATGGGAGTAACCAGGACTCAGGACTTGAATCAAAACAACTTTGTCCCTCCACTCAGGGTACATCTCTAAAAACATCCCGTATGCTTCTAATTTTTGTACCACTCCTCTCACCGCATCAAGCCTATCTCTGCCTACGATAATCTTTTTGTCCGCATATATCTCTTTCAACGTCTGTACTTTTTCTTCTATTCCTAAAGAAGATGAAAAAGCATCATGTTCTATCTTTTTTGTATCTATTCCAATTGGTAATGTTTCCACAGACATGGTAAAACCATATATAGATACGGTGTCCGACGTAACTTCACAACCTAGCAATCTTGAGCAACATGATAAGAAATGTCTTTGAAAAGAATGCGACTGAAACGCTATTTTATCTGCACCTAACATTCCATCAAGTAATTGGCTCCGTTTCGATAAGCATCTAAAATATTCAGAGGATGGAAACGGCACATGCATATATAAACCAATATAAGCATCGGGAAACTCCATTCTTAATAATTGTGGTAATAATAACAAATAGTAGTCGTGGATCCATATTATGTCACCAGGTTTGTAAATAGACTTTATGACATTAAAGTAGCTTTCATTGAACTTAACGTAGTCACGCCATGCCATTGCTTCCAGTTTGCCATCTGAGGGTTGTCCCTGAATGTAATGAAATAGTGGCCATAATACATTCTCAGCGTAATTTCTCCATCTTTGTTGATTCCTCTTCAACAACCAGATTGGATGTATTCTGTCAGATTTATTGACTTTTCTTATCTTTGACTCTATCTCCTTTTTGTCATGCTCGATCAAATACAACGGATCATCTTGTATGTTATCGCTGCTGGTAGATGTATAACTAGTCTTGTTCACAACATTTCCAGTCCAAGCTATCAAATGGGTCTCCCAATCGGTTCTTTGATCCAAAAAGTATTGCGATGAGTACAAAGCGGAATTCCCTGTCAAGTGGTCTAAATCCCAAAATTCCTTTCCTTCGCTGTCAACCCTCTTGCAAATTTGAGTTGGTAACTGCGTCATCACATTCAAAATGCGACCCGACATCTTTAGAGAGCCATCTTGAAAATCCTTAGGTGACACTGTTTTGTAGTCTGATGGATAGGTCAACACCTGGTCGAAATCTTCTTTGGAATCCATCTCCAATAACTTAAATTGCTAATAAAAGAGTTTGTCTGGCATTATCAAAATTACGAATTTGCCGGGACTGAAATATCGCAATTTTAAAGGCATGGGGAGGTGCGCAATCAAACGGAAAATGGAATTTTGATTATCTGAATCTACGTTAAAATCTACTTCTAAGAACAACATGACAATTTTTCAATTTCTTGCCAGTATATATAATAAATCCTTAACCCATTACCATAAAAATATTACATTATATACTTCCAAAAATAGAATACAATTCGACTTCCAATTACGTTTGAAAGAAGATCATTTCTAAACTAGTGTAGCCACGATGTCATCTCCGGTTCAGGGAATCTTAAAATTAAGCTTGAGTTTCAGAAGTATTTGCAGCTTCAGATGACTTCTTGTATTCTTCGAAAGCAGTTAAAGCATCCTCGAAATGGTTATTGAATAAATCATCGTCCTCCAATAAAGCTAAAATTTCTTGGTTATCCAAATCTAACATCATTCCAGTAATCTTACCAGCAGCTTCAGGTTCTTGAGCCTTACCTGTAGCAACAATCTTAAGATAAAGTTCTTCTCCCAAGATTCTCTTTTGTTGATCAACCGGGGCGCTAGCTATGATTGCTGCTAAGTCCCTTTGTTGACGACCCTTACCTTGGTTACGGTTAGGATAATAACCCCTTTGCTGACGGTTAGGTCCATTAGCAAATTCGTTATAAACTGGTGGAATACCGTAAACTGGTACAGGTTGACCATTTGGACCTGGTCTCGGCCATTGCCCTTGTGGGGGTGGGATTTGACCTCTAGGCATCATCATCTGAGGACTAGGGCCTGGGAATGGGCCATTGCCCCTTCCATTTGGTGGAAAGAAGCCTTGCTGTTGGCCATAGAACATAGGTGGAAATAATTGACCCGGGAGAGCACCTGTAGCAGCAGCACTTTGCATTCTCATTTGATTACGAGCTTGGATTTGCTGCTCCAATTGAGAACGTCTAACATCCTTACGTTGAGCCAAAGCAACGTATAATGGCTTTCCGAGAACCATACGTTGGTTCATTTCAGTGATAGCCTTAGTTGCTTCCTCAGGAGACGAGAAACAGACGAAACCAAATCCCTTAGACTTACCAGTTTCATCAACCATTACCCTGGCAGAAGTAATCGAACCAAATGGTTTAAATTCTTCTTCCAACTTCTCAGAATCAATAGTATCGTCTAAATTTTTAACGAATAAGTTTACGCCTTGATATTTAGATAATTTTTCTAATCTGGTGTTTTCGTATTGCTTCTTCAATTCCTCTAATCTTTCCCTCTTCTTTTGAGCTCTACCAACGTAAATACTTTGGCCGTTGATATCTTTATCATTCAATTCTTCAACAGCCTTGACTGCAGATTCATGGTTCTCAAAATTGACAAAACCGAAACCTTTAGAATTCCCTTCAGCATCTTTCTCCAAGTATATAGAGGTGATTTTACCGTAAGGAGAGAATAAATTCTCGAAGTCTTCCTCTGAATAATCCAAATCAATGTTCTTAACGTAAATGTTTGTGAAGTTAGCTTTCATTTCTTCGAACTTTGATTCACGATCCTTCTTGGAAATATGTTTGCCGACATAGACTTCACGATCATTCAACAACATTCCATTGACATTCTCAATAGCAGCCAGAGCAGCTTCAGGGCTTTCGTAGTGAACGAAACCGAAGCATTTAGACATTCCCATGTCATCTGTGGCAACTTTACAGGATAAAATCTTTCCGAAAGCTGAAAAGGTGTCATGTAACGCCTTGTTATCAATAGCCGGATGCAAGTTCTTGATGAATATATTGGCATCACCGTTCTTTCTCATGGATGGATCTCTTTGAGACCACATGATACGACATGGACGACCATCAATTGGAGTGTAATTCAATTCCTCAATTGCTTTCTCTCCATCCTCAAGCTTATTATAATTTACGTAAGCATATCCCAAAGATTTCTTCGAAACAGCATCACGACAAACTCTAATTGACGAAACCTGACCGATTGGCGAAAAGATTTCGAACAAGATAGCTTCATTAACTGATGGAGCTAATTCTCCAACGTACAAAGATGCCGAAGAGTCAGAGAGCTGAGCACTCTCTGACTGCTCATCTTGCTCACCTGAAGCTGCACTTGGAGCTGGCTCTTCAACTGGAGCTGAGTCAAGGTTAAGCTTTTCCAAAGATTCCTGAACTTGGTTGGCATCGGTGGCGGACATATTGGAAGTTTTTTTTTTTTTTATATGATTTATTAAAAAATAAAAAAGTTGGTAAAGTAGGTTTATAAAGGCACTAGTCGTACTTTTAAACACCTAAAATATCTAACTCTAAAACGTTGTAAATAAATTGAGATGTAGGGTCGAAAATTTTTGCAAAAAAAAATTTATTTTGTGGTTTGGCGTTCCTTACACAAAAAATGCGAAGCCCAGAAGTTACCCGACCCAGAGGGGGGACCATAGTATATATCAAAAATAAAACATATATAAAAGTTTATAAAAGATTTATATGCAACAGAAGAGAATATATTGTAGTACACTGAATTGCTGAATCATGTTTGCTTTTCAAGACTTCTTGGCGTCTTTTTGTTGTCCCTTGATCCTAATATACATTTCATTGATTTTACGACTGGGCACTTTAGCAGGCCAGTACAAGCTTGCATATGACCATAAGTGCTTCTTGAGCCTCTCAGAGTTGTTTTCTGCCTTCACAGTTTGCAGGATGTAGTCACCAATATCAAGCAATTCCTTTCTAAGAGTCGTGGCCCACTCGTGTTTATCTAAGCCTTTATTACCCTTATGTAGCTTCATCAAAGATTTGGAGACAGGCTTCAATGTTGACTTGCATTGAGATTCGTCCATACTTTCATATTCGAGATCATTCTCTGACTTTAAGCCTCCATCTAACGAGTGAGAGGCTGCACTGTCAACTTTAGGAGAAGCGTGAGAGGTCGGGACTGGGGAATTGTGCTTCTTATTACCGTTGTTAAGTCCATTCTTGACCTTAGATCTTTTCGTAAGCTCTGGGGACAGTGTTTTTGTCAGCTTCTTTGCCTTGACACCAGGAGTTGGCGTATCTGTCTTGATCTTTTTTGTTCTCTTTTTTGGTGCTTTTGCTTCGGTTCCAACATGAGACAGTATTGAGTTATCATCTCCTTTCAATAAACTAAATAGATAATCGACTCTTCTACCAAGATGGACAGAACCAGGTACCTTTTTTGATGCCTTATCCTCCTTAGACTCCTTACCAGTGCTTTCTAAAAACAACTTGTTTTGTAATCCTAGAAGCGGGTCGTCCCTAATTTGAATCCAAGAGCCATACCCGAATTTGAAAATACCTACTAAAAGCATAGCATCGTCCTTGTCATTCCATTCACAACTCCAATCTTTGACAGGTTTGGGTTGTTTTGGAAGAACAAAAGAAGTGGGTTTCAGCTTGGGAATCAACGACTCCAATAATTTCATATCTTGTGGCCTTGCTAAAACCAATTCAGCATTTATGTTTTTAACACCATGATATTCAAATAATACAGCTCTCTTTTCCTTCTTTTTAGCAACCCAAAGAGCCATTGGGCTCGAACCATCATCCCGTACAACACTTTTGTCTTTCAGTTGCATCGCCTTTCTCTCCAATTCAGCCAAAACTTTCGATCTTCTCGCGTCTTCCTCTTTCACTAAGTGCCTGGAAGTGCTAATTATTTCATTGTACGCGTGCTTGATCAAGACAGGATTCTTATTACTTATACTTCCATCTTCGACGAGCTGCTCCCACTTTCCGGAGAGATCTCCTAGCCTTAAAATGGACCTGTATATTCCCCTGATCTCTTTTTCAGATAATTGATGGTCACTGGTAACTTTTTTCTTGGACTTGGGTTTCGGATCCTCCTCAATATCATCATCAGACAAATCCTCCGTTGATGTTTCTTTCTTTTTTGACGCCGCATTTCGTCTAGAGTACATGGCTATTTGTTCTTTCAAGAAGTCTTCATCTGCTTTTTTCTTCTCTTCGTCCTTCAATTTAGCAAGTTCTTCCTGAGGGATAATATCGTCCCACTCGACGTCAGCCTTATAGTCAGTAACCTCAAACTGCTTCAAAAACTCTTCAGATCCTAAGTTTGATTCTCCTAAATCTGGTGTTGTTACATGATCTTCCGCATGATTTAAAACTTCATCCAAATTCAAGTCCTCTAACTTCTGTTGATTATCATTTGGTTTAAACATGTTTCCAGCACCAAACTTCAAAATCTGAGTTAATTCATTAGCCGAGGGCTCTACTTTAGTTCGCTTATTCGGATCAGTTATTCCCAATGATATGATAGCGTATTCTAATATCATCTTCTTCCTAGCCCTTTCTAAAATCTGCTCCTCAACTGTATCCTTACTCACAAATCTGTAAACAGACACATGATTTTTTTGGCCGATTCTATGGGCTCTAGCCATAGCTTGAAGATCAGCTTGTGGGTTCCAATCCGAATCGAATATAATAACAGTATCAGCAGTCATCAAATTGATACCGAGTCCACCAGCTCTGGTTGATAATAAGAATACGAAATCCTTTGAGTCAGGTGCATTGAAGTGGTCAATAGATATTCTTCTTTGAGCAGATGGAACTCCACCATCTAATCTTTGAAATGGCAACCCTTTAATTGACAAATAATCTCCCAAAATGTCTAACATACGAACCATTTGAGAAAATATCAAAACTCGATGACCTTCTTTTTTCAATCTAGTCAATAACTGTTCCAACAATACCATTTTTCCTGATGACATTATAAGACCTTTTAAAATAGTATCTCTCGTTTTAGAGCCAGCTTTGGTTAAAAATTTATCTTCAGCCCCATCAAACAAGTATGGATGGTTCGATGCCTTTTTAAGTTCACTCATAACATTCAACAATGAGATCTGAGAGCCCTTATTTCCGGCATTCAACGCTGTATAGTTCTTTGTTATAATATTTCTATAATACTCTGTCTGTACTTCTGAGAGTTCAACTCTTAAAATCCGTTCTGTTTTTGACGGAAGAGATTTTTCAACATCTTTTTTAAGCCTCCTCAAAATAACTGGTTGAATTTTCTTTTGAAGGTCTTTGATATATTGCTCCTGTTGATCATCAGGGGTTTCAAAGTCGATTTCTTGTTCTATGCTAAACTTTCCTGGCATTAAAAAGTTACATAACGCAGCCAACTCCTTAATGTTGTTTTGTAATGGTGTACCAGTGATTAAAAGTCTATTAGAAACTTTGAACAGCTTCAACGAATCATATAAGGATGATTCTGCATTTTTCAATCTATGTGCCTCATCAACTGCCAAAAACTGCCACTTTATAGAACCTAATTCTGCTCGATCTTTTAAAATATATTCATATGTCGTCAAAAGTACATTGAATTTCGGCTTATTATTATTATTGTAAAGTTCATAGTCTCTGATAGTTCTCCTTGCTTCTGTATTTCCCAAATAGTAAACGCAATTGACATCAGGCGCCCATCTTTCAAAGGTCTCTTGCCACGCCGGTACAGTTGACAACGGAACCACAACTAGGTGGGGGCCATTTTGTCTCCTAGCATAGATTAACCACGAGAGAAATGAGACCGTTTGAACAGTTTTACCTAGACCCATTTCATCTGCAAGAATACCGTTCTCATTCCTCGACCACAAAAAGGCCATCCAATTCAACCCTGTTAATTGAAAATCCCTTAATTCACCATTTTTTATGAATATGGGTTGCTTGACCAATTTCTCGAATCGAGGTCTTTGCGATAAAGGATAATTTGCCGACAAGTTAGGAAGGATTTTAGAATTTAGCCTCTGTTGATACTTAGCGACCTGCTCCGGTGCCATCTTAGCTATTTCTTCCGCATTTTCCCAAGAGCACTCATCGTAGTATAGCCTTTTCCATTTGCAAAAATACTGCAATTGACTCTGTCCGTCTACTTCAACTCTGTCGCTATCAACAATTCTTTCAACTTGTGTATACTCTTCTTGCTCATCTCGCCGCCTTTCACGCTCTATAGCCATCGCTTCTATATCTTCTTTTGTCGTCAATGGATCATTTCTAATTTCCTGATCAGCATTAATAAATTGTTTAATGTAGTTCTCAACTTTTCTAAAACCTTTTACGTTCTTCAAGTTTGACCACATCTCCCACGTATTATGCAAATGAGAAGCATTTGTCCATTTAATCTTGAAAAGGTAATCCCACTTTGGTTCGTTTGTGAGCTCTGAGTTTTCTTCATTAAGCTTATGATCTAAAACAACATCTATAGCCCTTTCATTTTCAGGCTCAACAGAATCGTAATAATAATAGTCCTCTGCGTCTATGTCACCTTCGCTTTCAAGTAAATCTTCGTCGTCCTGATCGTCTACAGCATAATTTATTTGTCTATTATTTCTAGCGGAGAAACGAACTTCTGCAGGGGTTCCGTTCAAGCTCTTCGCCTTATTAGAATTTTTAAGGGTGGCTTTCGGCTTCTTTTGATTAGACTTTCTCTTTTTCGAACTCACGTTATAATCATCGTCATCGTAGTCGTCCATAAAATCTTCAGTTCCATCGTCCAAATCATTACCATCTTCATACTCATATTGTTGTTCCATTTTTACTTTTCTATTTGAAGAATATTCATCATCATTGTCACTTAGATCACTTTCAGCAAGTGACATTTCATTTCTTCCTCTGTTGGACCTCCGTAAGCCATAGAGCTCTGGATGGAGACTAGCTTCTTCGGGAAGATCTTGTTTCACCATCAGTTTCATTGAAGTGTTTTTGGGCAATCTCTAATAATAAAAAGTATTTGACGTAGTAATCAGCTGAAAAACCTATCCCAATGCTACCAGCTTTTTTCAGGCCGAAGATAGTTAATTAATCAACAGTTATCCCAACAGCTGATAACACGAACACGTAAAAGTAAGGATCTAGTGAATATCTTTTTGCAGTGAAAAAGAAAAGAAAAATGCTTCGTTGGAATGTACACCAGCCTTTAAGTCAACTTATGTGTTCCACTTCAAATATAAAGACTCCTCTGTCGAATATATTATCAGTTGAAAGGAAATTCTTTAAACCGTATTTTTTTTAAAAAATGAAATTGCGGAAATGACGCCGACAACAACAAGATTTTCACTCCGGTATGGATAGTAGATTTCTGTGAGCGAAATAAAGGATTTTTTTGAGTCTAACAAATTACAAAAACAGCTGTGGCCAATGTTGCTTGTAATAGCTATGGCCAAGTTCAGTAAGAACAAATATATAACGACTTTTAAGACTACTTTTCCAGAGAAATTCGATTTCAAATTAACAAGAGTATATTGTGATAACAATGACCTACGTGCCTGAGCGTTGATCAGCACAAGTAAGCTCTTTTAAAATAGAGAAACACGGCCCGTATCAATTTGCAGCCATTTATTGTCAAACAAAAAGCTTCAAATCAAAAGCGTCCATGTATTTGTTATATGCGTCCCTGGTATATAACATGATACGCATCATCCGAATATCATCACGTTAAACCCATTGTAATATTTAGCTTTCAAAGACAACAATCGGTATTGTCCCACTAATTTTAATACGTCTCTAACGAGATACATGTGAACTAAACTTTTTATAGGATCCCAAAAGCCTTACTGGGGCCCAAAGCTTCAACACCCGAAAAGCTAATATGAAAAATGCACCCATCTAGTTCTTTAAACCACGCATTTAAAAGATCTAAATTGATATTACCATACCACGGTAATCCAGTGATTCCATAATGCCTGCTAACCGTCTTTCCATTTCTATATCCATTAACGAACGGCCCTCAAATTGTGACAATGAGCATCCCTATTTGAATACTGATGTGTGACCATTTGTATAACCTCATTCACACAAATTAATTCACATTTACTTCATCCTTCCAATCCGGACAAAGATAACCAAAAAATTTGTAGAGGGGGGCGACTCCAATTCCTTTTATAAGGCACTTACACGGTCACTGCACGCAAAAAGTAACACCTGGCATTTAATGCGGCTCCTCTAAGTGCGGCATACGCATGGTCTGGTCTAACATAGAGCTGAGGGATGCCAAAATGGCCAAACTCGAAACGTGATTGACCACGCAGAAAACAACATCATATTGATCTTTTCCATTTATATGACTTTTAGTAATGTGTTGTTTCAGAGATCCGCATTGCTTCATAATAGTATTTACTGGTTTTTGTCCAATCATATACACGTCTTTAGTCATATACTCAGATTTACGTAGCGAGAGCGCTCTCATTACCACACTTTTGTGTCACTTTAACACCAAAATTTTTTTTTTTTTTTTTTTTCATTTTCAGCTCTTCACATTAAATTCCGTATTTTGATTAGTTTCAAAGGAGCCTATTTATATAATTCTTTTCTTAGAGATCATAGTGAAAGGCTTGTTCATCACAAAAGATGAGTGAGAAGAATACGAGAATTGCTATTGTCTCTTCGGACAAGTGTAAGCCAAAGAAATGCAGACAGGAATGTCGTAGGTCATGTCCAGTGGTGAAGACAGGAAAACTATGCATAGAAGTGACACCAGCTTCCAAAATAGCGTTCATTTCTGAAACTTTGTGTATTGGGTGTGGTATTTGCGTCAAGAAATGTCCATTCGATGCCATCAACATTATTAACTTACCTACAAATTTGGAAGCGGAAACAACACATAGATATTCAGCAAATTCATTTAAACTACATAGGTTACCTACTCCAAGACCGGGACAAGTTTTAGGTTTGGTGGGAACAAATGGTATCGGTAAATCTACTGCTCTTAAAATTTTAGCAGGAAAGCAAAAACCAAATTTGGGTAGGTATGACGATCCTCCTGACTGGCAAGAGATATTGAGATATTTCAGAGGTTCTGAATTGCAAAACTTTTTCACCAAAGTTTTAGAAGATGACATAAAGGCTATCATAAAACCTCAATATGTTGATAACATTCCGAGAGCCCTTGCGAAAGCGCCAATTCAACATGTAGAGGGCATTTTAAAAGCTAAATTGGAAAGAAAAGACGAATGGGATTACATCATTAAAATAATGGAGTTGGGAGGTGTTATGAATAGAGAAGTATCTTTATTGTCAGGTGGTGAACTTCAAAGGTTTGCTCTTGCCATGACATTTGTACAACAGGCTAATGTCTATATGTTCGATGAGCCATCTTCATATTTGGATGTTAAGCAGAGATTGAGGGCTGCGGAAGCTATAAGATCTCTTTTATCCGCCACTACCTATATCATTTGTGTGGAACACGATTTGTCTGTCTTAGATTATTTGTCAGACTACGTCTGTATTTTATATGGTGTTCCATCTGTGTATGGTGTTGTTACCTTGCCGTCATCTGTGAGGGAAGGTATCAATATTTTCCTTGATGGTCATATTCCAACAGAGAATATGAGATTCAGAACTGAATCGTTACAATTCAGATTGGCAGATGCTGCCGATGACTTCATTCTTGATAAAACAAATTCCTTATCATACCCTTCAATGGAAAAGACGCAAGGAGATTTTCATTTAAGGGTTGAAGAGGGTGATTTCACAGATTCAGAGATTTTGGTTATGATGGGTGAGAACGGGACTGGTAAAACAACATTCTGTAGATTACTTGCTGGTTTGACTGCTCCAGATAACGGAAAAACTATTCCTAAACTTAATGTATCTTTGAAACCTCAAAAAATTGCACCCAAGTTCACTGGTACCGTTAGACAGCTCTTCTTCAAGAAGATAAGAGCTTCTTTCTTACATCCTCAATTCCAAACTGATGTTGTTAAGCCTTTGAAGATCGACAACATTATTGACCAAGAGGTCCAAACCTTGTCCGGAGGTGAGTTGCAAAGGGTTGCTATAGTGTTGGCACTTGGTATACCTGCAGATTTGTATTTGATCGATGAACCTTCTGCTTACTTAGATTCTGAACAACGTATTATCTGTTCCAAGGTCATTAGAAGATATATCCTTCACTCCAAAAAAACCGCATTCATCGTCGAGCACGATTTCATAATGGCTACTTATTTAGCTGATAGAGTTATCGTTTTTGAAGGTAAGCCTTCTAAAGATGCCTTAGCTAAGGCCCCAGAGTCTTTATTAACTGGCTGTAACAGATTTTTAAAGAACTTGAATGTCACCTTCAGAAGAGATCCTAATTCCTTTAGACCAAGAATTAATAAATTGGATTCTCAAATGGATAAAGAACAGAAGGCATCTGGAAACTATTTCTTCTTGGATAATTCCGAATTATAATTGACTGAATCTATCGCATTGATAAAGGTTTCTGAAGTTTGTGAATCATTCTTGCTACATTATAAAATATTATTGTAATATAGGTCGAATCATAGATGAGCTAACTAACAATTTATTATGGTCATACGCTTGCATCATATTAGCATAGTCTCAACATGAGATTCTAAGCTCTCTCTTTATCTAATATAAGAAAACTTTTAAGAAACCTGTTATGTACAAGCTTATCTGTCGTAATTTTCATTTAGTTTTAGATTTTAAGATTTCAGATATTAGGAAATTTTTTTTCTAAACTGTCTACGCATGAATAAGACGATGAAGCGAAAGAGACAAGAATATCATTGATCAATAGTATCGTTGTTCCTTCACCTCTGAATCCAAGGATTATCAGGTTGAGATATGCTTCATGGATATGCTCATACCACGCCGAGGTCCTAAGGCGACCCAAGTTTTTTCAACCTGCTTGCTCTATTCCATAATGTTGAAAAATATAATTATCGATATCACGGGACATGACAATATAAACTAAAATGCACAGAAAGAAAGATCTAAGAAAAAAAAATATTAAAATAAGAATACAATATGCGTGTACTGGTTGTCAATGGGCCCACTGAAGTGGAGTTGAAGGGCTGGGATAAGTTTTTTTTTATTTGTAAACTAATTTTGAATGCTTTGGTGTTAGTATTAGTATGCTGTGCTAGCGTAGTATTTTTTTCTGGTATAATCAAAGCATTATGGGAAGGCGCAGAACTGGAGATACTGGTACATAAAACTCAGATGAAAGGAGCAGGAAGGTAGTAATACCCTTGAATGATTCTTGCGTAGTGAAAAGATCATTCATACAAAGTTAGGAAATGGGAAACAACTTCATCTACAAGCTTGTAGGTTTGCGATAAGATATTACAAAAAAGGTAAAGGTCGAGTTTGAACTTAGTGGGTAATCCTGATGCCTTATTATTTTTATTAATGTGTTGTGCTGCCGTGTAATTTATCATATATATAGTAGAGAGAGTGAGCTAACGAGATTGCCATGATGATAAAAGATATTTAAGTTCTTTACACCTTTGGAAGAACGATATGACATTCTACTTTGGTCTGACGTTCCTCGGACATGAATTAATTTTTCTCAAATACTCACTTTAGATTGGCATATCGAAAGCATACTTGACTGAGAAATAGGAAGGTCGCTTTAAATATAAATATGCCAGCATGCATTTGAAATATGCTAGTAGGATTAGGGAAATGAATCAGATGAATGATCCGTTAATGAGCTCAAATATACAAAAGAATGCTGTAAAAGAATTTTAGATATTCAACTCATGTATATGCCCTGTAAAATAAACATCGTATCAGAGTGGGAAGTGCAACATTCCTGTGCGTTATATGTGCTAGTAGGCTCCATCAATTCATATCTTACTCTTCCTGTTAGCTATTTGAGATTCAGCTGATGAGGTAACAATATGGCTTTATGGGTAGGAGGGAAGATGATGGGTTCTGAAAATAGATTAAGATAAATCGTCGATAAATAGTAGGTTGTAAAGTTATAGAAGTATAGTTATACTGAAAGATATTAAAAATAGGCAACTTGTCCGAGTGGTTAAGGAGAAAGATTAGAAATCTTTTGGGCTTTGCCCGCGCAGGTTCGAATCCTGCAGTTGTCGATATCTTTTTTTCAACTGAGCTTTCAGCATCGTTGGAAGTTCGACTTTGAGGTGAAGTTTCTTTGATCTCATCTCATTTAAATTTTTAAAGTAGTTTTTTTTATTTTTTATTTTTCAGGCGACAAGAATTAATAGATTCTTATACATTTAATAAATAAATACTTTCTTTGAAAGATGCAACTCGCTGTTCATGAGAATGATGCAGACATATTATTAAAACAAAAGAATGTACTTAGTGAATCGGTTTTAGACAAATACAGAGTCGCTGGTCAAATAGCACAAACAGTAATGAGCTATGTCATTTCATTAATTAATGACTCCTACCATTTGGGTAAAACAGAAAAACCATATAGTTGTCAGGAATGTTGTGCATTGGGAGATTCTATGTCAATAAAACTTTTGTCAAGAGTATATAACCATGATGTTAGAGAGAAAGGAATCTCCATTCCAGTGACAATAGAATTGAACGAAATAGCTAGTGGTTTTTCACCTGAGCTAGATGATGATTCTAAGTTTTTCTTTAGTGAAGGTGATATCGTAACTATTACCTTGGGGGTTCATATAGATGGCTATACGTCAAACATTTCCCATACCATGGTGATATATCCTCCAGGTGTTGCTGTTAATAACACATTGAAACCAAGCGGTCCACTCTTGGGCTCTAAAGCAGATGCTATTTGTGCTGCTCAATTGGCAGTTGAAGCTGTTGTTTCCTTAATTGGTTTGGCATTAACTCCTGAAAAAGTCCCCGAAGAATTGAAAATTGGTAATTCAATCTCTGGTAGAAGTATCAGGTTAGTTGTAGATTCGATAGCTGAATCTTTCAATTGTACGGTCGTTCCAGGCTCTAAAGTCAGAAGAATTAGAAGATTTTTGGCTGGCCAGGCGGAAGGAATAGTAGCAGAAAAAGATTTCAAGGGTGTCGTTTGGGATGAATCCCACCAAGAAGAAATTTTGTTGAGAAAATCTAATCAGGTCAAGAATCGAGAGTTGATTTTAAATGACAACGATTCATCGAAACCAATAATAACTAGTAATACATCTGCCGTTCCGTCGGATGATTTTTCAATAGTGCCGGGTGAAGTATATCAGGTTGACATCAAAATGAGTCCCGTCAGTGACTTCAAAGAAGTCGGATTAGTTACATTGGAAGAGATCGATCATTTCACGGGAAAAAATGAAAAGAATGGGTTTAACTCTCGTCCCACTATCTACATCAGAGATTTGGCCGAGTCCCACCAATTAAAATTGAAAACCGCTAGGAAATTATTGGGATATGTTGATAAACATTTCTCAGTATATCCCTTCAAATTGTGCTATACTTCTCCTTGTTTCCCAATAGACTTATCGAAGAACATAGATGAACAGATACAGAACCTCAGAAAGGAGTTGAAATCTAACAGACTCGGGTTAGCAGAACTCTCGAACAGGCACCTTATAAAACCACGTCCGATTCAAATAGCAAAGTTCATTAGTCTTGAGAAAATTCTCAAGAGTGCAAATACTACAGGAAAGCTAGGCATTGATCCAAACAAACCCGTATTGCCAGGAATGGAACTTCCATTACCGCACTTGAATATCTCGTCTTTGAAATTAAGATCGCTTATGAAGTTTGCAACCAATGTTCCTGTAGCAAGAGAACTGGTTTGTGTAGTGGTTAACAACTTGAACAATGACCTTATAAGACTCACAGGGGGACCAAAGTCGGCTAAACCAAGCTGGGTCCACTCGAACTATAGCTTAAGAGGAAACTATGCAGGTGCTATCAATGCTTTGTTTCAATTAGCAGCTGACCACCGTTTTGGAATTGCCATCAAAACTTGTAACCCTTACAAGCTTCTGCTGACCTCTAATAACACTGAGAATATGGTTTTAGACTGATACATATACTTCACAATATAAAATCTTGCTAAATTACGATATCAATACAATTCTAGGCGCGCATTTTCACTGACGTATTCAATCTTGTGGCAACGACTCCTTCATTGCTAATAATTCTGATGTCATAGTTATGACATTTGCTATCTTTCACGCCAGTAGACTATGCGCGTAAGAGCCACTTCTTCTGTTTTGGACTTTCTCGTCTTTTATTTATGAGCTCATCGCTAAGGGGGGTAGATTCTGAGCATGTTGGCAGGATCTCTCGTCGTTGGACGTGTGTTTTCCGACTAGCATAGTTGCTAGCGAGCTTTGCGTCACTAGCCATAGCAAGTCTACCGACTCACCGCTCCTGAATCGGCCTGTTTTGCTATACGCTGCCTCGGCTGAGCTGAGGTGGGGACAGTTACGTAAGTGTTCTTTTGTATATTTTGTATATGCAGGTCTGTTGTCGCAAAGCTAAAGAGAGATTTGGTTGGCTGGATGTCATTGAAAGGTAAAAGCGGGATTTTGTGTCAACAGGTGGTTTTGTGATATTCTTTGTCCAAAGAGTGTCTCTAAACCAAAACAAAGTGAGAAATACTCAGAGAAGCACAATTTTAAGGACAGCAGGTTAATCCATATAATTCATAACAAGCCTAGTTATTAGTCTAAAAATAATTGGAAAACAAAGAAACGTAAGTTTATAATAAACGTAATCAAGAACTACATTTGTAATGAATTGGACCAATATGAAACGTGTTTAGGTGAAGAAATGGGCTTTCAGCCGGGGCGTAGTCATTGATCGCAGGGGGTGAGAGTTTAGTGAATTAGAAGGCGACGAAAGTTTTTAAAAAAAGGCGAGATAAGTCAAAGAGCGCGTCGGAGCCTATGGATGATTCAGTGGTGATGTGATTGTGATTGATTAGCTCTGTGCTGGCGTAAGAACCTGAGGTGGCGGGACAAGTTTGTGGTTTCATTGCTATTGGTAGATAACTCGGCGAGTAGCATAATTGGATTGTCAAATGGTTCTCTACTTATCACCAGGCATGTATTATTGGACTGGTACCAATTTATTAGACAGATTAGTCAGGATCTTGACTTCTAAAATGTTATAGCGTGATACTAACTTTTATTTAGGAATAATGCCTACCTCTCGTGAAGATTCTGTCTATCTTGCAAAGTTAGCCGAGCAAGCTGAGCGTTACGAAGAAATGGTCGAAAACATGAAGGCTGTTGCCTCATCTGGCCAAGAGTTGTCCGTTGAGGAACGTAACTTACTATCGGTAGCCTATAAAAATGTGATCGGTGCTCGCCGTGCATCATGGAGAATTGTTTCCTCTATTGAACAAAAGGAAGAAGCCAAGGGCAACGAAGCTCAAGTCGCATTGATTCGTGACTACCGTTCAAAGATCGAAAATGAATTGACTAAAATCTGTGAAGACATTTTGTCAGTTTTAACCGATCACTTGATTTCATCTGCACAAACAGGCGAATCGAAGGTCTTCTATTATAAGATGAAGGGTGATTACCATCGTTATTTGGCTGAATTTGCTGTCGCTGATAAGCGTAAAGAAGCTGCTGACTTATCCTTGGAAGCTTACAAGGCTGCCTCTGATGTTGCTGTAACGGAATTACCACCTACTCATCCAATTAGATTAGGTTTGGCCTTGAACTTTTCTGTGTTCTACTATGAAATCTTAAATTCTCCAGACAGAGCATGTCATTTGGCCAAGCAGGCTTTTGATGATGCCGTTGCCGATTTGGAAACTTTATCTGAAGATTCTTACAAAGATTCTACTTTGATCATGCAATTATTAAGAGATAACTTAACGTTATGGACTGATTTGTCTGAAGCTCCTGCTCCATCTGAAGAGCAGCAACAGCAGCCTTCAGAAGCAAAACCAGATGAAGAGTAAATATAGTGTGTGTCTTTGATGATAGAGGCAACAAAAAAAAAATGAAAGAAGATCGGTCTAGATTGGAGTCAAGAGCAAAATACCTGTTGAATGAAAAATGAAAAAAAGGAGAAGAAGAGGTAAACTATTGTTGCAAGAGTAATTCTTTTATGTTGAGGATTCATGTGTCTTTTGTTTACTACTATCGTACTTGCTTTGTATCATTTTTGATGCCTTTTAGATTTATTATGGCATTACTAGAATAATAAGCGGTTTTTCAAAGGTTGAATATCTTGGATTTCCAAACTATTCTATTATTTTTTATTCTATTTTGGTTTCACTAAATCATTTGTTCAAGATCTTGTGTCTTTTCCTCTTATAAGTTGCTCAAGGTACTATTATTTTCCTCATCTTGCTTTGATTTACATGTTTTATATTATTCTCTTGACTGATTTCATATTGGCTTATTATCTGACCTTTTTTCTTTCAAGGATTTTTTTTTCCTGTTTTTATTATATTTGTTGTTTTTATCAATATATAGCAGAAGATAATTGATTGATAGCTACAAGTAGGCACTACTGTAATTTAGAGTATGTAATTTAGAATATGTAATTACGTTTCTTATCTATTTGGTAACCAGATTATACTCTGAAACTGACGCGTGGCTTTAAAAAATGTTAAGAGCGAATTTGCCGAATTTGTCGGGCATTTAATTTTCTCGCCAATTTATCTTTCCAAACATTGAAAGCTGAGTTCGAAACTGGAGATCAGAGGTTTTTTAAATCGATTGAAATAAGACAAACGTGATGCCAGAACCAGTTGGAATTGCAAGTTTACCTAACCAAAGGTATGTAAATAATTTATGAAATATTTTTGATTCAGTAATTTTGGATAAACATTTGATTTATAAACAAATACTAACGTGAACGAATACAGGTATAAAATTATTTCTAAACAGGGAGCTACTTTCACTCTTATGGTAGTTGGAGAGAGTGGATTAGGAAAGACTACGTTTATTAATACTCTCTTTCAATCTTCGTTGAAGAGTTATGACGATGCGACCCAGAGACACAATAAGTTTACCAGTCCTCATCAGACTGTCGACATTGGCATAGTTAGGGCAATATTAGAGGAGAAGAATTTCAAAATCAGATTAAATATCATTGATACGCCTGGATTTGGTAACAATGTCAATAATTATGACTCCTGGAGTCCCATAGTTGATTTCATTGACGATCAACATGAAATGTACATGAAACAAGAACAACAACCTCTCAGAGAACAAAAGAAAGACTTGAGAGTTCACGCATGCTTGTATTTCATTAGGCCTACTGGCCACTCCTTGAAGCCATTAGATATCGAGATAATGAAGAGATTGTCATCAAGGGTTAATTTAATTCCTATCATTTCCAAATCAGACACCTTATCTCCTCAAGAGTTAGATGGATTTAAGACGAGAATAAGAGATGTTATCGAAGCACAGGATATAAATATCTATACACCACCTTTGGATATCGATGATCCAGCAAGCGCTGAGCACTCCAAGCAATTGATTGAAGCAATGCCATTTGCTATCATTGGCTCCGAAGATGAATACGAGGTGACGCCTGGTAACTTTGTGAGGGGAAGGAAATACCCATGGGGTCTTGTTGAAGTCGAAAATGATAAGCATTGTGACTTCAAGAAATTGAGAAGTTTGTTGTTGAGGACAAATATGTTGGATTTGATACTTTCAACGAACGAATTACACTTTGAAACATTCAGGTCCTTCAAGCTAGGAGAAGATGATGAGAATGAGAATAATGAATTGGTCAATGAAGATGGAAGTGTCGTCAAGAAGTCAAACAATAAGAAACCAAGAAGGTTACATAATCCAAAGTTCAAAGAAGAAGAAGACGCCTTGAAGAAATTCTTTACCGAGCAAGTTAAGGCGGAAGAACACAGATTCAGACAATGGGAAACGAATATTGTGAATGAAAGAAATAGATTGAATCAAGACTTGGAAGAAATGCAATCGAAGTTAAAAACGTTGGAAGATCAAGTAAAGAAGTTGCAGTTAGCGAAACGTTAAATTAGATTAGTACCGTGTGCTCCGTATATATAATTTAACTTTGTAGCTACTAGTTTAAATGACAGTTGAGAGTTTTTGCCTAAGTTTCAATAATCGAATGTTTATAGAATATCTTTGTAGTGAAAAATTCTATCTCGGTAATTTGATCTCGGTTGTAGTCGGCTTTTAAAGAAAAACCAAAAATTAGATAAGAATTAGCTTTAACGACGTATCAGAAAGGTTCATCATCTAGCGTGGAATGCGTAATTTTGCACTGGATAATGAAAGCACTCTATCAAGCCAGCATATGAAGCTGCAAAAGTTCAAGCGTAGTTATAAAGCTTGTTTAAATTGCAGACTTCGCAAAATTAAGTGCGATTTAGGGTCAGTGGATAATCCAAGGGAGGGAAAGTGTGCCAGATGCTTGAGAGAGAGGAAAGATTGTATATTCGTCGACTCGAAGAGAGGAGGATCTGGCAACGTTGCAGGTGGAAAAAGAAAGAAAATGAAAGTTCATGAATCTTTGAATGACCTGGATCAAATCATTGAATCGGATACTATGTCGTCGTATTCGGCAAGTCCAAAACCGTCTAATTCTATTCATGGAAATCCAGATGAACAAGACGAACTGAAAAAGCGTCTTTCTGTTCCGCATATCTTAAATGAAGGGGCATTAAGGTCGAGCAAGCTTGAGACGCATCATCATTCAACCCATCACACGAGGCAATCTGAAGGTCACTTTTCAACATCAGCCAGTGCCTTGGTATATTTAGCAAAAGCCGCAGGGTCGATTGCTAAGGCTGATGAGAGAGATAATATTGACGCAAGAAGGAAGCATGAGCATTTCTTGAAAGATAGTCGTAACAATTCATCCGATAAATTAAATAATAGCTCTAGTGGAATTGAGCGTGATTCTATGAGCAGTGATGACACCAGCTTTCAAAAATTTGACTCTTATCGGTCATTCCCATCTGGAAAGTCAAGCACAGATGAATTTTTTGTTGTACCACCAGCAGAAACTACATATGATGTGCATCCTAAGGGATCTACAACTATTTCTTCTTTCGACTTCATTAACGGACCAAATGCAATACTATCTGTAAATGAAGCTGAAAAGTTAGTCAACTTGTTTTTCTCAACAATGCATCCATATTTTCCATATTTGCCAAACTTTTTGCATTCACCAGATGCTTTGGCAGAGTTCCCTATTTTACTATGTACAATATTAACGATTTCCTCTCGATATCACACATTGACAGATGATAGAGGAAATGATAGGAATATTGAGGTTCATGAAAGATTGTGGGTTTATGTCCAGAGACTCATCTCGCAAACAGTATGGGCTGAGGCGAGCACAAGATCAATTGGTACAATTTTTGCATTTTTACTTTTTACCGAATGGAATCCGAGAGCCATACATTGGAGATGGTCAGATTACGCTAACAAAGCTGATGAAAGTTCGCATGCTCCAAATTCTGAAGATCAAAATTTAGCTGGATTGGGTGCCATGACACGAAGCTACAGAATGACGTGGATGCTAGTTGGAAACGCCGTCAGATTAGCCCAAGAAATGGGATTTATGGAAGTAAGCTCTAAAACATTCCTAGCAACACATATCGCAGAAGTGAATTCAGTGATGAATATCAGGGGAAGATCGATGTTAGCTCAATCTCTTTCTGAAGTTGACCTTGATAATGAGAACAGTATTGAATCAGACGCGGGAAATGGCAGACACAACGAAAGTAACCTTGATGACGATGATAATGATAATGGTAATGGTAATGATGATGATGATGATGATGATGATGATGATGATTACGATTTCGTTAAGCTTGGGGAAGATGATTTAAAAAGATTGGCTGAAGAACATGTTTTGAAATTTACAATCAATCAAAAAGCACTGTTAGAGTTGCTTCAAATCATCTCATTGGGCCACGAATCTTTCTATGGTTATAAGGCACAGCTAAACAGTTTGACCCAAAGTCAAAAATTATCTGTTTTGAGTATCTTATCTTCATTGATTGGAAGCTGGAGAAGAAAATATCAAAATTTATTGATACCATCGAACCCAAAACATATTAAGAATAATATGAGTATACAGCAGCATATCTTGGATCCTCATTCAAAAATTTCGAAAGAAATAGCTCAAACCATTGAGAGGGAAGAAATGATTTTTAATTTTCATTACGTTCAGCTTTACGTTTATTCTTTGGCATTGAGTCCAGCTCAGAGACCTTCCCACGGGAAAAGTTCTGAGAAAGTATCTTTGAAGTTAGATGAAATATCCAAATCGGCTAAATATATTGAGCAAGCATTTGTGTCCGCCAACGAGCTACTATCATCTGCGCATCGTGTTCATAGAATTAGAATGTTAAGATTTATGCCTGTGCGATGGCTAACAACTATAGTCAGAGCAATTGCCTTCATTGTCAAATGTTATATGACCATAACTGCGCATAAAAAATCGTCATCCTATCCTTCTACACTTGGGCCCAACGTTGACAATCTTGATGCCACCATTCTTTCATTGTCAATGATATCAATAGATGATATAACTCAAAGTATTAGAAGAGCTGCGATAACATTAAGAGATTGCTCTCCTGACGAATTGCATTTGTGCACCAGATATTCTAATATCTTGATGTATCTTTGTTCTCAAATGAAGTCAACAAGTAAGGGAAACGAGAATGCCGATCAAGACTACCCAGAACCTACAAATACTGAAAAAGCTCATGCTGAGGAGAATGGGCCCAATAATTCGGTCGAAACCAGCTCGAACTTCACTCAAAATCCTACCAACACATATAACGTGCAAGAAAATGGCCCCGGTTTCTTTTACTTCAATAATAATGAAAATGACGGGACTCCAATTCAAGATATAGGCACCGAAAGTGAAGTTATGGACTGGTTTTTGAACAATAAAGATATTGGCTTAGATTTCGTAGGTCCTTGGACGGAAATGATAGAACAACAGTTAAACTCTAATGAGCAAGGTTAAGTACTCATCCTATATAGAAAAATATTCAAAAGCTATTTTGTAATATCATACATTAACATCCGTTAACTATAGAAGATTTTGTCATTAACTTTTAGAAACTACAGCATTGTCCCAGCTTTGGATAGTATTTATCATAGAGTCCAAAAGATCCTGAGAGTAATCGCTGAATTTTTCAATGCCGTCATTGGTGAACAATTTAGGTTCTGGGTCAATGTTGATTAACAAAGGTTCGGTCGCTCTCATCGGATTCCTATGTGAGCTTTGAGATGACTTGTTCTTACGTTGGTCTGTCATAAATATAGCACTTGACATCCTAGTATGAATATTCTTACTTTTTCCATAATCTCGGGGATCAGCTTGAACAAAATGTTCGATCTTTGAATCCAAGTCCAACACAAGATCTACGTCAGGAGTCGTCTTTAAAAACTCGTTTATCTGTTTCAATTTTTTCATTCCATTTTGAGCATTGACATTATTTTGATCAGCCATATATTTTAGTAAAGCAACACCTCTATCTAAAGGACTGTACCGATTACCAGAGAGAGAGGAAAGTATGATCATAATTAAAGCACTAAAAAGGTGCTGACTATCCCAAAACCCCATAATAAATAATTTACCACACTCATGCAACTTCAGTAAAATTTCGACCGTCCAACATGCAGCAGATATGCCTTTGGATATGGCAGCGTGGACAACCTGTGGGTTCTCTATAAGTGATAAAGAATTTTTGTTAAATACAACCGTCAACAATGGTTTTGTGATTGATATTATTAGTTGATGATATCGAACAAACAAATTTGCCAATGCCCTGCCATCTGTTTGTATAAAATTCTTGCTGTTATAACGAGTTAAAAAAGGTTGTTCAAAGTCATTAATGAGGTTATGTAAACATTCCACGATGTTTTTAATTAGAAGCTTCTTGTTGAACTGATCTGTATTGATATAGTTTATTGAAAAAGTTCTGATATGAGGGCCATAAATCAAACGAAGATATTTAGAAACATATTTTGCAAGATGAACATTCACCTCTAACATTTCGCTGTTAAATGGATCCCCTAGGTCATATGCATTTTCATTGGGAAGATCTACATCAGTATCAACATAATTTATGTGAACAGGTAAACTCATTCTGTTGACTCCCCATGCTGTTTCAATAACAAAGACCGTCCAAAAGAGTCTCTTCAGCTTTTCGATGTCTTTTTTGATTCCCACTACTTCCTCTTCGCTCATCATGGTATTACCTAACCGTTGCCTATGATATCCTTTGGCCAACACGGATCTTATAGCAACGCCAATATAATTATAAACAGTGTTATATCGATTCAAATTGGCAGAATAAAATGCCAAGAGTATAGCACTTTGGATGAATTCATAATCAAGCTCTTCTCTTGTCAAGTGGAATAGTTGAGAAGCTAGAATGTAATATTCAATTCCAGGTATCAATCGCTCCACCTCAAGCTGACGTCGGTTTTTCGATACAGGTAGCCTATTTTGTAACTGTTCTCCAAATGCCAATATGATAAAAAAATAGCACAATGACTTGTGATTAACCCTTTTAGAAAGATCATGGTATCGTATAGACAGGGAGTCTCGGCCATTATAATCAAAAATATCATAAATTTCATCCACAAGAGGTAGTAACTCATTCATGTCTATAAGATAATATTCGATACAGTAGATGTTATAAACTGTATTGATTAGCTCCATGGCATATGATCTGTCTGGGAGCGAATGACCACATATATCCAATAGCTTCCACTGAATAGACTCGCTCTCATTGTCTGGCAAAAGAAAGCTCTCTAAGGATGACTCACAAAGAACATTTATCCCTGCATTCTGGTTAATTCTCTGCTGTATAAAATCAGACGAAGGTGATTCCATCTCCTTAATTGCAGCCTCAAATAAAGACTGGCTGGATGTTCCCGAGGC